TTATCTATATTTAATAATTTTTGTTTATATTGTGTTTATTGTTTTATTTTCAAAAGAATCATTGGCTTCAAATATCTCAATTGAAGAGGAAGAGCAATGACTCGAAGTTGAAGTTGTCCTTGGGGCTTAAATTTTTGATTCTTGACTTGTTATTGCACTTATCACTTGGAAGTTACTTGTCTTTGTTGAGCTATATTTGTTGAATTGTTGTTGTTGTTGTTTGTCTTTTGAATATTGCTGCTGAAATGTTCTTCTTAGACTTGATTTAATTTGATTTTCTGTTACTGCTTTTTTTTCCTTTAGTGGGAAATCTTGGTATTTCCAAAAGCATTCTTTTTCTTGAATTTTTTTCTACATGACTAAGCATATTCTTATGGGGAAGATGGCGGCATTACTAGTTGAGACTACATTGTATGAAGAACAGAAGAAGGTCAAGAAAAAGTAGCAAGTTTAATACCTTGACACAGTATAGCTTTGCTTACAAAGTATGCAGTAAATTTGTTTCCTCTAATTTGTTTCTTTCTTTGCCATAGCAATTTTTAAGTATCAGGGTTATGAATTGCAGGGGTATGCTAAAAGTAGGGGCAATCTTTCTTTGCCACCTATAAATTGCAGGGGCACGTTAAAAGTAGCTTCTTTCTCAAAACTTTAATGTGTTTTTACAGTAATTTCAGTTCTGCAATTAATGATAAATTAATTATAGGAATACTTTAGGCAAATAGCAAGACTGAATTTTTTAATTTCAATATGATTTTGCAGGGAAGGAATTTGAAGTAATTGAGAATATGCGAAGAATTCAAGTGCCGTTCAAATGGAAGCAGTATGAGGTAATTTTTTTTCTCCAAATCTCCCATAAAACTAGGACATTGTTAAGAAATATTTTCAAAGAAAAAGATATGGGTGTTGAGTTGTAAACAAAATTTAATTTATATGGTTTAATTCTTCTAGTCTGTCATTACTTCTATGATTAATCATATTCATAATGAAATTTGCATTAAACTTTTTTGGGGTTCTAATTAATGTAATATATGCTTTTTCTTGTCAAGTAATAAGTTGAAAGATTGTAACAATCTTGTTGATGTGCATTTGGGACATCCCGGTCCCGTCCCGATCCCGTCTCAACTCCTTTCGGGACGGACGGGACACGGGACAAATTTTAAGTCCCGATCATTTTTCAGGACGGGCCACGGGACGGGGGTGTCCCGGTTCTATCCCGTCCCGTGAATACTCCTAGTTTCATTTTCTATGTAAAATTACCTTACATAACTCATTTTTTTTGGACTGGATGATACATCCTTTAGCTGTTGCAACTTGAGAAATCCCTAGGAGAGCAAGAGGAGAAGTCCAGAAGCTTGGAATCAAGAAGAAGTGGAGTAAATCTTCATTCTACCTCATTTTTTTAGTGTTTTCTCTTCTTCTTTTTCTCTATGCTGATAGTTTCGAATCTTTTCTGTGTTGTTACAATTTTTATTTCAGCTATGTGTAGCTAAATTTTCTTGTTCTAGAAGACTATAAATCTATTTATGAAATAACCTTTGATTTACCATTTAGTTGTTAAGAAATGAAGTTTTGATTACTTGTTCTTGAGCTATATATCTTATTTTTGTTTAGTGTTTCACTACTACTAAGTGAGATTTGAGCATTTGGGTTGAATCTTGGAAGAGAAAATTCAAATTGGACCTTGAAAACTAGTAACCTAGGATTAGTTTAGCTAATTTGCCATTAGAATAGAAATGTATATAATGGATCTAGATAATCCTCATGGGTTAAGGTCTTTAAAGCATTTAATTAATCAGGGTAATATTTTGATTTAATTGAATTAATTAGGGTCATTAATAATCAAAAGATACTTTGAATTAATTTAGATTATCAAATTATCAAAATTGAGTTTTAAGATAATTAATGCGGTAATGAGAGAGTTTAGAAGCAAATAGGGAATTAGGACTTTAGAATGCTCTCTTGTTGGTTGACTTTAGTTGTTTCTGGATTGAAAGTTATTTTAATTGATCACTTTTAATATTTTCATTTTAATTATTTTAAAATCAATCTCATGTTTTGTTAGTTTAACGGGAATGAATTTAGAAATTTAATGCTTATTCACCATTTTAATTAGTTCATTGAGGGATTGACTTTGATCTATTATTAGCTTCAATTATGACGCATGCACTTGCAGTGTCTTTTAATTTTTGTGGGCTTCAACAATCTTCTTCCCTAGTATAAAATTTTCCCATTAATTGTCCCTTTTCTAATGCTAGTGGGGGAAAATATGAAAGGAGAAAAAATGAGAGGAGAAAAAAATAAAGAGAAGAGAAAAGTGGGGGTATATAATTTTTCTTCATTGTGCTTAATTGAGTGAGAGAAAACAAATAAGAGATAAAAATTGTTAATTTTATATGGATAATAATAATCTTATTATTTATAAAAATATTTGTATATAATAAAATTTAATATTTTAACATATTATATTTACAATAATTTCTATCATATGTTATCAATTGAATTAAAACATAATTACAAATTATTTATTATTTATTCAATTTATAATTTTATTTATTAAATTATTAAATATATAATAATCTTAAAATTTTGAAACTTCAACCAAAAACCAAATATAAGTAACTTAACTAAAAATTTAGAATTAACATTTATCTAATTAATCTAAAAATTAAATATATTTTTTTTGCTTAACGAAAAGTTCATGATCAAAATATAACAACACTATAAATATAAAATTTGAAAATTAGCGTGCAAATTTGAAAATAAAATTTTTCTTTTGAAAATCTCTTTATATTTGAAGAGAAAAATTGTAGGTAAAATTATGTGGGTTTTAGGTGCTATTTTTATTTCACTTTTCTCTCCTTTTTACTTTTTTCTGCATAACAAAATAGGAAAAAATGCTATTTAATCCTTACTTTTTTGTTCCACTTTTTTTCTTCTCACTTTTCTTTCTCGCCAAGCATAGTATAAGAGAAAATAAAAAAATAAAGGTGAAAAATGTCTTTCTATTTTAGTTTTTTTTTATTTTCTTTTCTTCATATTTTCTTTTCATTCCAAACAAAGCCTAAGACCCATAGTTTTTTTTTTAAATTGGGTCTTCAATATTTTTTAAGTGTCCTAAAAATATAATAACAAAAATAATTAAGTTTATGATAAAATTAAAATATGATTAAAAAATAAAAATATATAACTTGTTGAACATTTGGCCAATCCAAATGAACTGAATTTGTTAATGTCAGACTTGATTGTATGGATTTTTCTGTATAAATGGGATTGCCTGAATTGCCACCACTATAAATATACAAAGGAGACAACTCCAACTAGCCGAAGTTAGGTTTAATGTGGCAAAAGAGGGGGGAAAAATTGACAAGGCTCATGATGAGGGGTATCGACTTTTATTTTTCAAAGTTGGAGGCACGTTACATTCAAACATGATGAAGTGGAAGAGGACAGGGTTGAGCACTTGAGCTTGTAAGAATCTGCCCAATTGAATTTAAAGAGGTGGAGGCCCGAATTTTATTTGATGAGCATATTAGCTCACTGAGCAATGCATTGGCTTTTACCTTTTACCTTTTATCTAAAATTCATATTGGCTTTTACCTTTTATCTAAAATTTGAAATAAATTCAAGTTTCATGTAGGTTGAAAAGTTGGTAAAAAAGATCAAATATCCTTTTAGGACGACAAATGGTCTCCGCTCCCTGGCCCTCTTGTCGAGCATGCAATTCTGAATACTAATTCTATTGTTCATGCTAGGGTCTCTGATTTTCACCATAATACAGGAGGATGGAAATTGATCTTTTAAGTCATTACCTCTACTTTAATGTAATTAAACAAATATTACTTGCACAACCTCCTAATTAACAAGGTGAAAAAGATATTCTCATTCGGAAACTCTCCTCTAATGGAAACTTCTCCATTAAATCTGCTTACAGAGTCATGAAATTTCATAAGGATCAACACCACTATGATATATGGACTAAAATTTGAAAGTGGTCTACTTATAAAAAAAATAAAATAGTTTCTATGAAAAGTTGCTTCAAATCATCCACAGATCAATCACACACAAACAACTGAAAATGTTCCCCATCAACATATCTGCTCACTTTGTTATAACTTTCCTGACTCTTCAATTCATATTTTATGCGATTGTGAAGAAGCTAAAGAAGTTTGAAAAAAAATTAGTTAATCCTACAAGACTTAACACCTTCTTCTCTTTCAAAGTGCAGGACTGGATAATCTGGAATGCAAAGAATGAAACAGGCAGCTTAAGAACAAGAAGAACGCCTAGCAGAATTTTTTTGTACAAGCTTGTTGGAATATTTAGAAAGGTAGATGCAAAAAAATTATGCTCGACAAATGAGATCCCTGACAGCGATATTACCTTCTTCAGCACTCAACAGATAAATAATGATTTGAAGCTCTTATCTAAAATCACTTGCTTAGGCAAAAGTAACTCTATAAATGATGGAAAATGAAGTCTACCTAAATCTAAATGTGTTAAACTTGACACTGACGGTTCTGTTAACACAAATGGTGCTGCAGCCTGCGGATGCATCATTAAAGATGATAATAAAAATTGGATTAAAGGATTTTTCAAGTACTTTGGATATCAACCTATCATAACAGCAGAACTTACAGGGATCTTCGAGGGGCTAAAGTTTTGCCGAAATGCAAAATTACCAAGAGTCAATATCTACTCTGATTTGATAGAGGCTTTGTCACTTATTAAACACACTTGCTTTGAGAATCACCCTTTATTTGACATTATTAGGAAGATTAGAGATTTTATTATGAGAGATTGAATGGTCATTATTGATCATGTTTTTAGAGGAGCAAATAAATGTGTTAATTTCTTAGCCCACTAGCTTGTACATGATACTTTTAATATTATAATTTTTGATGTCCCATTGCATGAATGTAGAAACTTTATAATTTTAAATATAATTATATTCTAGTCTGGCTTTACCGTGGCTTTGTAATCCAATAAAAAAAAAAAAATCATGCCAACCAAACGGGGTCTCAAGAAAATCCTCTTTTCGCTAGATTGAAGCTTCTCCGTCCCTTTATGGTTTTTGCTTCGTTAGGACTTGGTGAGTGAGTAGTGAAAACAAGGGAGTACAGCATTTCCGGTAGGCTCAAGTACGGCTTCGCTTAATTGAAACTGCGAGCTCCAAAGTTCCGATTCAAAATTTGAGGTGAGTTCTCTCTTGCTTCAAACACCGAGGTTTACGATTTCTCCATTTATGACTCAACTTTTATTGGTTTGAGAGCTATAAAATTAATCTGATATGCAATCTGTTTTGAGTCTGGATGTCCTAAGGAAGATTTAACGCGGGTTCCCCCTAGCTTAAAACGCCCTCTTGTTCCTCCTATTTAAGCAGGAAACTTATAATCTGCTCCCCCCACTTTTTTTGTGTTTGCTTTTATATAGGCCATTGAGCCCCTTAAGTAAGTACCTTCAATTCAAGAGAGGTAAATTTTAATTACTTTGTATGATCATTTTATTCTGTAGTGAAAGTTGTTGCCTGGTTTTTGAAGGTAACGATGGAAGCTCAATTTGTGCTACTTAACCGGAGCAATTGTTTTATCAGGCCCTCCTGTGCGGGCCATTTTAAAGTTACGGGCATTTCCAGAACCACATTTCTGCATTGTCGTCGTGGCCCAGCTGGTAAATCGGTTTACAGTTTTAGATTGTGGGTCTGTATGTGAGTAGTTTCTGGATGTTGGAGCCTTCCAATTATTACCAGAATAAAATTTGAGTAGTCATTCAATTTAAGTCTTTAATAATTTTAGGTATTTATCTTATACTCCTTCCAAACTGTTGGATATAGGCTGCAAAAAATTTGACAAAATTCATTTATATTCCTTGCACTATCGGTATAGTTTTCTATGTAGCAAGTAGAAATATAAGTGCATAAACTGCCCATTGTAAGTTTAAGATAGATGAAGTTTTCCACCATTCCCTTTTTCCTCAAACTTTCATTCATGGAATTCTGTTGCACTTATTGATAGTGTTTACAAATAACCGGATAAAGTGTTCGATGAAGTCATATAGATTATCAGAGCTTACTCAGGCAGAGGTTGAGAGCCTTAAGACTCGCCCTCGCATAGATTTCTCTTCCATTTTCAGTGTGGTAAGCACAAGTTATTCTTTTCATCCTCTAGAAGGTTCTTATCTACTTTTTAAAAAAGAAATCTTGTCATAGATCAATATCACAAGAGTGTTACTTTGTTGAATGTAAAAATCCATGCTGTGCAGGTAAACCCCATTGTTGATGATGTCCACAAAAGAGGTGATGCTGCAGTTAAAGAGTTGGGGCTTCTTGCTTCTTATTCCTTTGAATTTTGTTATATTTGGTGTCAATCTTTCCCTTTTTTTTTTTTGAAAAAAATACGTTAGTGTTTTTTTTTTTTTAACTATTGAATTACCCTTTGCATCTTTGGATTCTCTTTCGTTATGCACCAAAACTTCAATTTTTTTGATACTTCTGTTTTTGTAGATATACTTCAAGATTTGACAAGGTAGAACTTGATAAAATAGTTGAAGATGTATCAGAACTTTCTGATCCAGTGGTATGTTTATTAGAACATACATCCCTATTAGAGTTTTTTTATTGGTATTTTGTTGAAATCATGCCTTTGTATTGATTTCCATTCTCATTAGAGAGCATGGTTATTGGTTGGAACAGGATTCAAATTTATATTTTCCCTTTTCTGCAGCTCAATTCAGATATTCAGGAAGCTTTTGATGTTGCCTACAGCAATATATATGCATTTCATGCTGCTCAGAAGTCCACTGAGAAAACTGTTGAGAACATGAAAGTATGTCAAGATGAATTTTGTTTGTGGGTTTGGTTGGTGTACAAACCTGAGGGAAGATGCGTCAACCTTGGACTAGATGAGATTCAAGTGACTTATGTTGGACTTACTGATATGCATATTATTATAGAGAATTACTAGTTTTAATGGCTGGATAGTATTAGTATAACAAATGCAGTTCATATATGTTGGTGATATTTTTTTCGGGAGGTTTAAGTAGGTGCATGCAGCTCTATATTGGGAAAGCTAGATAGTTGTAGAAAGATGAAAATAATGGAAGATCCTTTGCAATAATTATATTCTGTATCACCTTCATAATCTTCTCCATTTCCATCTCTTTGCTTGTGTACGTCTAGTTATTTCATTAATATGCTTCCATGTAAGTTCTTTCTGGGTTCTGTGTTATTCAGTCTATTAATTCAACCTTTTGAGGTTTCTAATAATGTTAGGGAGTCAAATGCAAGCGAGTTGCTAGAAGCATCAATTCTGTGGGTCTTTATGTTCCTGGAGGAACTGCAGTATTACCTTCAACTGCCTTGATGCTTTCAGTTGTAAGTTTAATACGTATCTCATCATATATAATACTGATATGCATCATTCCAGATTTAGCTGACATTACTATTGTACCAGCCTGCACAGATTGCTGGATGTAAAACTGTTGTTCTTGCAACTCCGCCAACCCAGGATGGCAACATATGCAAGGTAGTCGTCTATGTTGGAGGGAACACATAACTATGAGGTTGTTTTTGTTCTGATCAAAGTTTTCCTGTAGGAGGTATTGTATTGTGCAAAGAAGGCTGGAGTAACTCACATCCTTAAAGCTGGAGGAGCTCAGGTTTGAAGAAACATAACATAACCCATGGTTGGTTGTGTTATTCAAGGCTAATATGCCATATTTGTATGTTTTTCTAATTAATTTGTTCAATCTAAATTCAACAATTTAAGATGACTTCTTTCTCCATATCAGGCTATATCTGCTATGGCTTGGGGAACAGAGTCTTGTCCCAAGGTAGCTAATTTCACTTCACTCATCTCTCTTTTGGGCTTTCATAAAACTTAAAATAGAGTTTTATTATGTCACTTGATATATCTATAGATATATATATTTTGGTATTAATTTTATGTGTTTTCTATATATCATTTTGGGATCATTGAACCTTGATGATTTGCTGCGTTGAAACTTGAGAAAAAGTAGAGAAAGGGACAAGAAAAATAAGCTGAATTGCTTTTATTCATTGGAAAAGCTGAATATAAATGGGAAGGAGGAGGGGACAAATGTCCCATCCAATCAGCAAAAAATGAAAGACAAATATTTGTAACCTAATGACCAGCAACGGTCAATAATATGGAAGGAAGAAAATAAATAGAAATAAGGCTAATAAAGACAATAAAAATGTAATAAATGGGATAAATTTTTGTGGAAACTGACGAACTCATCTCTCTTCTTGTATATGCATTCTCACAGGACCTCATCTAGTCATAGGCTTACATTGCTATTGAATTTCCTCTTTGGAAATTTAAAATATGTTCATACCTCAGCAACACTTAGCCTGATGAATATATGATGACCGAGGGGGATTTTAATGAGAATTTGTTCATCAAAGTTGTTAATTAAATTAGACGCATTTCTTTGTGAGTTGCAAGGAATTTGAGAAATGAATTGCTGTTTATGACTCATAAATATTGTGTCTTGTTATGTTGATTTGAATGGATGCAAAATTCAAATTTTGAAATGGGATGGAGATGAGAGAGTTGATACAGGAACCAATGGGCATGGAGTCACACAGAGAACTAAATAGTGTGAAATGTTACTGTTCACATGCTGCTTAAGCCAAGAGTTGAAGATTGACTTCCTATTGCTTATATATATATATAATTAGTTAACCAATATAGTGATAGAAAAGCAACTAAAATTTAATTCTTCTTGTTTTCCAACAAAAAAACTCTACCTCAACATTTTCATGCCAATTTTTAAGTTTGTTAATTTATTTTGAATTTTTTGTAGGTTGAAAAGATTTTTGGCCCTGGAAATCAATATGTCACAGCTGCAAAAATGATACTGCAAGTAAAGAAGTTTTCATTTAACATTTGAATCTGTTTCCAATTTTTTTTTTCAAGTGTTGTTAGTGCTTTAGCTTTACTTTTTGGCTCATCAAAATTTCCCGCAGAACAGTGAAGCCATGATTTCAATTGACATGCCAGCCGGTCCATCTGAAGTTTTGGTCATTGCAGATAAGCATGCAATTCCTCATCATGTAGCTGCTGATTTACTCTCACAGGTTTGATGGATTTTTTTTTTATTTTATAATTGACAAGGGGATTAGCCGACCTAGTGGGATAAAGGCTTGTTGTTGTTTTATAATTGACAAGGGGCTAAACAAGCCCCATGGGATTGATTGAACCCACAACCTCTCCCCCATACAAGGGGATTACTATGCAACTAGGGCAATGCACTAAGTCCAGGTTGATGGATTTAAAAAATGCTTCTTTTCACTGTACAAAACATTATCCATTTATGTTAATAATTTTGGACAATCTTAGAGGCTAAAAAATGAATTAATTTTAGTGCAGCCAAAGTAAACTAGATAAATGCCTTTCCTGTGGTGTTAGTTTTAGTACAAGCAAAGGTTGAAGGTCGGTGTTATTCACATCAAATTTGAGTCTTGATGGAACCCACACTGAAAATGCTGTTAAAATGATAGAAATCTGGCAAAGTGTAGGTCTAACCAGCAAAAATGAAGTTATTGAGCCGAATAACACTTGTGTATTGATCAGAAGGTATGTACAGCAATATATACATAAGCAAGACTGATCATATCTCCGAGAATAAAGGAGACAGAATCAGAGGAGAATATCGGGAAGTGAATCGCGTAAATCTCTCTATTATAACTACCCAATATCTCTCCTAATAATAACATATATTTACATTAAATAATTACTATTTCTAACCACACTCCCCCTTAAGTTGGATCATAGATGCTAATCATGTCCAACTTGCTAATACAATTATCAAACGCTGGTTTGTGTAATCCCTTGGTGAGCACATCTGCAGCTTGGAGTCTAGTTGGTAGGTAGATGAGGCACACGACTCCTTCCTCAACTTTTTCCCTAATGAAGTGTCTGTCAATTTCCACATGCTTGGACCTTTCATGTTGGACAGGATTTAGCGCCATACTTATTGCAGCTTTGTTGTCACAGTAGAGCTTTAATGGAGGTGCAACTCTGACATGTATCTCATCCATGACTCGTTTTACCCATAATACCTCTGAAATGCCTTGAGCCAACGCCCTCAATTATGATTCAGCGCTGCTCCTAGAGATTACTCTCTATTTTTGGCTTTTCCATGAGACTAGATTTTCCCATACAAAGAACAATATCCTGATGTTGACCTCTTATCCTTGTATGTTCCTCCCCAGTCTGCATCTGTGTAAATTTCTATGGATTGTAGGTTTTGTTTTTTGAATAACAACCCTTTTCCAGGTGTTCCTTTCAAGTATCTCAAGATTCTATACACTGCATCCATGTGCCTCTCCCTAGGGTCGCACATATATTGGCTGGCAACACTTACCACAAACGCTATATCTGGCCGAGTGTGAGAGAGATAGATTAGTTTCCCAACTAACCTTTGGTATCTCTCTTTGTCCACTGACTCATTCTTCTCTTCTTCCTCTTCACAGTCATCTTTTTCAGATTCAATCTCATCTTCCTTCTCTTTTCTTGGTTTTGCCCCCTTTTTCTTGACCATGACAGGTGTGTCTGTAGGTCTGCATCCTAACATACCTGTCTCAGTAAGCAAATCAATGATGTATTTCCTTTGGGACACATGGATCCCTTTCTTTGACCTTGCAACCTCTATACCCAGAAAGTACTCCAAATTCCCAAGGTCCTTCACTTCAAATTCTTTTCTAAGAGCCATCTTTATTCTTTTTACTTCCTCCTCGTGATTGCCGGTGACAATTATGTCATCAATGTATACTATGAGAATACACCTTTTTCCTCTTTTCATTTTTACAAACATAGTATGGTCAGACAAACCCTGTGTGTACCTTTCTGCCCTCAAAACTTTGGAAAATCTGTCAAACCAAGCCCGAGGTGATTGCTTTAAACCATACAATGATTTTTTCAGCTTACACACCTGATTTGTTCTCCCTGCCTCAAAGCCTGGGGGTAACGTCATAAAGACTTCTTCCTTAAGATCCCTATTCAAGAAAGCATTTTTAATATCTAGTTGATGCAAGGGCCAGTCTAGATTTACAGCTACAGAAATCAAAATTCTAATTGTATTTAGTTTGGCCACGGGAGCAAATGTCTCCTTGTAGTCCAAACCATACGTTTGAGTAAACCCCCTTGCCACCAATCGTGCCTTTAGCCTGTCTAAATTACCAGCAGCATCATATTTAGGGTTAAATACCCATTTACATCCCACAACTCTCTTTCCTTTCGGAAGTTCTACTCTCTCCCACGTGCCATTCTTTTCCAATGCATTCATTTCCTCAAGTACAGCATTTTTCCATTCTGGAATGCTCAATGCTTCATACACATTATTAGGAATCTTCACTTTGTCAAGATTAGTCACAAATGCATGAAATTGTGAAGACAAGGTACGGTAACTTACAAACCCTTGAATAGGATGCTGTGTACACATTCTAGGTTGCTTTCTGAGAGCTATAGGTAGATCTAACTCTTCCAGTTCCTCCATCTCAACTACCTCTTCTGCCTCAGATTCTTGAAAGAGATTTTTACTCTCTATGTTCTCAGTCTCAGGAGCCCCTCTTAGTTGAGATTTTGGCTGTACTTTAGGCACAACAGTCTCCCTTTCTCGCCACTTCTTCCTTGAGTAAGTGATTGGTGTCTTTTCCAGTGCATTTTCTGCATTTTTATGATGCTTTGAAGGACTTTTCACCTTAGTTTCTGGCCTAGGAGACTGGATTCTTAGTTCGGTGGTATGAGGGACAAGAGATTCAGAATCAGTATGGTATTGAGATTGAGGATTTTCTGGGTTTGGTTCTGGAACATAAAGAGTTTTTGGTTTTTTTGGAATAACATCTTCCAAATGCTGAAAGTCACTCCCTCTCTCCCCCTGAATTGAAGCATTTGGGTAAAAGGGTTCATGCTCAACAAAGGTAACATCTTGACTTACGTAGAGTTTTTTAGTATAAGGGTCAAAACACTTATACCCTCAGAAGCACCGATACGCGAAAATGGCCGGCGTGTCCGTATCGGATACGTATCCGACACGGACACGCGTTCAGGACGGGGGAACGGCGCGTCCCTTTTCCCAGTTTCCGGCGGACGCGGGCAGATGCGGGTTGACGCGGGTCGGACGCGGGCTGACGCAAAACTCTGCATTTTTCACCTCTTTTTACTCAGTCCCAACTCCAGAAACCCGATGCCCTAAGATTTTCAGCTCCAATCGACCCCCTTCTCGTGTTTTCCGCTCTGTCGCTCATTGCCTGTGTCGACCGCTGTATCGCTCTGAGTCAGACGCGTTTTCACTTCTCACTTCGCACGCTGCCTCACTCTCACGTCTTCGACCTCATCATTCTTCAGTCTTCAGTCTTCAGCTTCAATCTTGATAATTTATTCAGCTTCAATCTGAGCTCTGCCTCAGCGTCTTTGACCTCATCTCTATCTCTTCTGCTTTTCACTTTTTTATTGTTCAATGTTGTGCTGCTGCCTGATGGATATTTATTGGGATTATTGCATTGCTGGATAATGAATATTTATTGCTCAATTCTTCACTGCTGAGCCGAGAGAGGCAGAGCAACTGATCAGTTTTTTAAATTTAATACTGAATTACTAAATTTTTTTTATTTAGATGGATTATTTTATTAAGTTAAATATTGATTTATTTTTAATTTTTATTGGCTCTCTTCATGTTAAAATTTTTATTAGAATTATTTTAAGTTGATAATTATTTTTTGCCACTTGATAGTATTTAAGTACTTAATTATTTGTTGTATTATATTTTATGATGGCATTAAACATCTTGAAATTATATTTTTAAACATTCAAATATTTAATATTTAATTATTTATATAGCCGTACCCGTATCCTAAAATTTTGAAAAATAGCCGTGTCCGCGTATCGTATCGTATCGTACCGACACTCGTACCCGTATCGGTGCTTCTTAGCTTATACCCCTTTTATGTTTGAGGAATAACCAAGGAAGAGACACTTGACAGCTTTAGGATCTAATTTTTGAGAATGGTAAGAGTGAATATAGGTGGTGCAATCAAATATTTTAAGAGGTAGGTCAGTGGCAAGATGAGTGATGGAGTGAGATTCTTTGAGTTTCTCAATTGGTGAAATATAAGAAAGAACGCGACTAGGCATGCGGTTGATTAAGTATGTTTCTGTAAGGATGGCATCACCCCAGAAATATTTGGGAACGTTATATGTGAATAATAAAGCACGAGCAACTTCTAAAAGATGTTTATTTTTCCTTTCCGCAATGCCATTTTGTTGAGGGGTGTTAGGACAGGTGCTTTTATGAACAATTCCGTGGTTTGCTAGAAATAGATCCATGGTTTTATTGAAGTACTTAGTCCCATTATCAGTATGAAGCACTTGGATTGTGGTATCAAATTGGTTTTTTATCATAGTATAGAATTTGGAGAAAACAAAGGGTACAGAAGACTTATCTTGTAATAAGTAAACCCAACACATTCTGGTGTGGTCATCAATAAATGTAATGAATCATTTTGTATTAGTATGATTAGTAACACGAGTAGAACCCCACAGATCACTATGGATTATGGAAAAAGGACGGGTAGACTTATATTCCACAGGTTTGAAAACAGATCTGTGATGTTTAGCAAGTTCATAGTCAGTACAATGAAATGAAGAATATTTATTGGCTAGAAATTCTGGAAACAAACGACATAAATACTGGAAATTTGGATGACCCATTCTCCTATGCCATAACATAAGATTCTTAAAGTCTTTATTTTTGAGGTAGATGCAATATTGCACTGGATTTGAGACTAAAGACTACTCACGGTAGATTCATCAAGATAGTAGAGACCATTATGCTCCTTAGCACTGCCAATCATCTTCCCCGATGAGAGGTCTTGAAATATACAATGAGTAGAACAGAAATGAGCCCAACAATTAGCTTGTTTAGTCAACTTACTAATGGACAGTAAACTACAAGCCAAGTTCGGTACATGTAAGACATGTTTTAATTTCAAAATTTCAGAAATAGCGACACTTCCTGTCCCTGCTATTGATGAGGAAGACCCATTTGCTGTGCTTATTGTTTCATTTCCAGCATTAGGAGCATAGGTGCTGAATAGTGTAGAATCTGATGTCATATGGTCCATTGCCCCAGTATCAACAATCCATTTGAAGTTATTAGTAGAAGTAAGTAAGGCATGATTACCTTTATGGGCCACAGATGCAGTATGATTTTGTTTCTGCCTTTTTTCATTCTGCTGGAGCATACTGAGCATCTCGAGCAACTTACCGAGTTGTTCCTTGTCAATCTCAGGCACCGGTGGGGTTGATTCTGATTTATCTGGTGGTACATCATGAGAAGTCTGATATCCTCGTGTCTTTCCTTTCCTTGGCTTCCAATCGACTGGTTTGCCATGTATATCCCAACATGTCTCACGAGTATGTCCAGTCTTCTTACAATGGTCACAAGTCACCTTCCCTTTTTGGGTCTTCTGACTCGTGTCATTGCTCTTGCTCACAAGTGCAGCCGAGTCCAATGCTGGTTGAGCGGAAGTAGGCCCCGGAAGCATAACTTTGCGTCTTGAAGCTTCACGACGCACCTTAGAGAATACTTCTCTGGTTGATGGAAGCGGTGTACGACTCAAAACTCGTCCCCGTACATCATCTAAAGATTGGTTTAGACCAGTAAGAAATTGAAATACTCGTTCATTTTCCATCTGTTCCTTATACCGTGTTGCATCTTGGCTACTTGACCACTCTAAGTCTGTCATCAGGTCCAGTTCCTGCCAAATAGCATTAAGTTCCAACCAGAAGGTCGTGACATCACGCTCCCCCTGTTGCAGCGTCCATGCCTTCGTTTTAAGCTCATATATGTGAGCCAAATCCTTCCCATCAGAGTATGAGTCTCGCACAGCCTTCCAAATTTCTTGGGCTGAGGGAAGAAACATAAAGCTTTGCCGGATTTCTGAAGCCATGGCATTTATCAGCCACGATGATACCAGCGTGTTTTTAGTGTGCCACTGCTGAAACTCTTGCGTCTTGGATTCTATTGGAGTTTTCGATGAGCTGTCAAGATAGCCCATCTTCCCCCGACCTCTAATCGCGAGCTTCATGGCCTGCGCCCACATACGGTAGTTCGCACCATTAAGCTTCACAGAGACGAGATGCACTGAGGACCCTTCGTGGTTGGTAGTTGATCCTATGAGACCACCCACCTTGCTCGGATCGATCTTAGAGGACCCATCATTAGTTGACATCAAAATAGTGTCAGTTGGGTTCGCCTCGCTCTCGGTACTATCTGCTTTGAAGCTCTCGGCGTCGGATTCCACTGGAAAGTGTTGCGGCTCTGATACCATGAAGTTATTGAGCCGAATAACACTTGTGTATTGATCAGAAGGTATGTACAGCAATATATACATAAGCAAGACTGATCATATCTCTGAGAATAAAGGAGACAGAATCAGAGGAGAATATCGGGAAGTGAATCGCGTAAATCTCTCTATTATAACTATCCAATATCTCTCCTAATAATAACATATATTTACATTAAATAATTACCATTTCTAACCACAAAAAACTACAAAGAAAATAGGAGAAAGTGATAGAAAACTCACTCACACCCACTGGTTCCCTAGCTTTCAAGATGCTAGAGCCTCTTCCTTACGAATGCTCACTGTCTGCTTAACTCCCTGCTAAACCCTTCTGCCCAAATATACAGAGCACATAGCCCTCCCTACCTCTCTCTGACCACACACTCCACATGACCTAGCCTTCGCCCAATAGATGAGATCCCATTAGCTATGGATCCATCATTAACAGGCCCTCCAAGCTTCACTTTGTCCTCGAGGTGAAAATTAGATGTAAGCATTGGTGGCTTCCTCCCTTTACAGCTCAGCTTCTCTTGTTTGCTTGTGTACACCAAAAGGAATGAATGAATTTCATATCGAACCTTTGATATTGATGACGCAATCTCTTAAATGGATTCTCTAAAAATTATATTAACATGGGCATGAGACTCTTCATGGACAACAAAATCAATGATACAATCCCAAGGTTCAATGAAACTAGGATGAAGACCAGCTGCTCTTTTTCTGGGAGTGACTCTTATGATAGAAATTATTGGCAACAATAATTGAACAGAAATAGATTTCTCAAGAAAACCGCTAATTCTGATCAGTCCATCAATTCTGTCAATATATTACACTTCTAATGTAATAGTGAACGGAGTATTGTACCAAAAGGATTTGACAATTGATATGGTATATAATACCTTTCTCAAATCTTAATCCTACTATTATTAAAGAGAACCATTTACTTTCAGACAAATGTGTTGCATACTGCTTAAAACTTGACTCTGCTACTTAAAGTTCTAGATTATTCCTGCATAACAGGAGAGAACTTTAATCATTCTTGTGCCATGCTGACATCTCCTCAACAAACTTATGAATTTTCAGGCTGAGCATGGTCCTGACAGTCAAGTTGTTCTTGTAATTGTTGGAGACGGTGTTGATTTGAAAGCAATACTGGAGGAACTCAGCAAGCAGTGCTACAGTCTACCGAGAGGAGATTTTGCCTCTAAAGCCCTGAGCCACAGTTTTATTGTGTATGCACGTGATATGCTTGAGGTTTGTCTGTTGTTCAGCTCTCCTTTTGCGTTCTCAGGCCACTGAGGTCCCATAACTTCTGTGATTGTAAATACTCTGGCTTGTTAAAGTTCAGCTCTTCAACAGAAATGATATTTGCTTTTGGATTTTCCAGGCAATTACTTTCTCAAACTTATATGCACCCGAACACCTTATTATCAATGTAAAGGAAGCAGAGAAGTGGGAAAATTTTATTGAGAATGCAGGTATAACATTTTCCTTGATGCTGCTTTTCTATTTTCTGATGTAGAAAGTGAAGAAGTGAGAACAAAATTTTGTCTGTTGTAATGGATAATTTGCATCAAAACGGTATTGATCTTTCCAAAGGGTTGCATTTCTTGCAGAAAGTAAGGGAAGATCCTGAACTACCATTGCAAGAATATGATAAAGACTATGATTCAGTCCAATTGAATCAAGGAAAACCTTACACTTGGCACTTCAATTCAATTCTTGGGAGATTGTTGTTTTTGATTTAGTTCCTTGATTATTAAAACACTTACATTGTTACTTGAACATCCCATTTCCATCCAAAATGGAACACTAAACTAATGTGTGTTGACTTTGATGCTATTGGGCGGTTAAGCTTTGAATGACCGAATTGGAAGTCCTTGTCACTCTCAAGCAGTCCTATTTCTCTGTCCCTTGCAGTAAAACGATTCAGTTCTGCTTGCAATCTTGGTCGTCCAAATAGGGGGGGTCAAGATTTTGATGCATTTATTTTATTGTTTTTTCCCGAGTTTGTGGGAGATGTTTGAAAGGAACTTAGATCCCCTAAAGTACTTAATGGTATAGAGAGAGACAAGAAAAATGTAGGCTCATATGTGCATTAGGTGGGATTCACCATTCTCGTCCTGTCTCTATATACTTTTCTGAGATGAACGGGATCCTGATTCAACAGTGGTAGTGATTATCTCCTTCTATTTAGATGCATCAAAAAGGAAAAGTAAAATGTCACCTTCAAAACTGTATAAATGATTCAGTTTTGCAAGAACATAGAATTGATTACCTCTGTTGCAGGTTCTGTGTTCTTAGGGCCTTGGACACCAGAGAGTGTTGGTGATTATGCAAGTGGAACAAACCATGTGCTTCCCACCTATGGATACGCGAGGATGTATGGCGGTGTGTCATTGGATTCTTTCGTCAAGTACATTACTGTTCAGTCTCTCACAGAAGAAGGTTTGAGAAACCTTGGACCGTATGTAGAAACCATGGCTGAAGTTGAAGGTCTTGAGGCCCACAGGAGAGCAGTTACTCTAAGGCTTCAGGACATAGAAGCCAAGCAGGTTTCAAGATGAGATGTTACCTCAAATATTATCATCAATTTCTTTTTCTAGCTCCTGCCTGTTAATTTATATTCAGCTATAGTGAAACTGGAGAGTAGTGACCCCCCCTCTTTTTGTGGAACGGATTGTTCCATTTTTACCTGATGATATTTCTATGGCTCTTGTATCTTTGATACTTGGAATTTCATAACTGGTCATCATTTTTGGATTTTGTAATCGGATTTGAAATGACTGGTAATGAAATCTATGAAAATGTCGGCTGGAATTGGACTCTAGCCATAGTTATTTTGCTTATGGTTTTTTTTTTTTTGCCTTGCGTTTTTTTTGGCATTCCTTCCTTTTCTTTTGACAACCATGTGGTATTTGGTGTTGCCTATTGATTAAGATTCAAGTATTGCATTTTTTTTTTTCCTTTTCAAGTAGAGATGAGTCTTGACTATTTTTTCCGGTCTGCATTGCTCAAACTTGAGTTCCATGATCCAAAATGTGAGTTAGTGTAGGTGCTTGAGCCATTAACCAAATGAAATAAATGGGTGTATTTGGTTTGGGAGAATATTTTTAGTTTTCATGATCTGTTATAATTGTTTGAAATTAGATGCAATTTTCAATTTGAATTTTGAGTATTCTGGAAGTAAATAATGAGAAGGGAAAATTGCATGTGAGTTCCTTTTTGAGGTTAAAATTATGCTAGAGGACCAAAAGACCGAGGTGTAGGCAAATCTGTTTGGGATTTCATGGTTATTTGCTTGCACCTTAATCTTTTGGTCCTCCAGCACAATTTTAGACTCAAAAAGGATTTATTAACAATTTTCCTTAATAAGAATATAAATGGATTTATAAGAATAAATTTAAAAAGTTTAGAGTTCACATGTTACGTTGGTAAAACTATTACTTGTTACTAACTCACAAGATGGTTCTTGGAAATACCTGAAACATGAAAGTATCAAACTTTTGATGTCATGCTGTATTCGACCCACATTTCAACGACAATTTAAAAAAGGAGAGGCTAAAATACAAATCTATCTTGAATATTTAAAAAAAAAAGCAATTGATATTAATAGTTTTTTAAAATAGAATGATAACAGATTTGGACTATTTAAACTAACGGTCAAAATCTGAATCTCTTAATCAGCCAAAATTATCCTAATTTTAAAAATGTTAAAACAACTCTGTGTCTTACATATTTTAGAATATCAAGTATGCTTTTTTAAAAAAGTCTGAGGCAGGTTTGTACTTGAGCAAAAAAAAAAAAAAAAAAAAACCATCTCAACAAGGGTTTATAGACATAACTTTTTCTTTTTTAATACATAAACTTAAAAGCATTGTATATTAGTCACTTAGCTGGTTTAGCATAAAACCTGTTGGCCTAGTTATGATAAATTCTCTATTTAATATTTTTGAACATGTGGCAATATTATTTTATTTTGTGTAAGATTATTAGAGCTAAATTGAAGATTTGTTTTTTTGGACAAAACTAAATTGAAGATTACTAATGGAGATTTGTTGGGCTTGAAGTGTATTCTCAATTTTATTACCTCAAAGTGTATTTTCTCTGGGTAAATTTGTGGAAATTGCAATTAAGGTCATTAAGGATAATTTTGTCTTTTATATTAAATTATTAGGTTTTAGTGGATAGTGAAGGAATAGAAAACAGAGGAGCGGCGGAAGATCAATTGAGGAACTGAGATAGAAGCCACTCGCATCTTCTTCTTTTCTTCATTTTTAATTTTTTTTTTATTCCGTGTGTTTAGATTTGAACATAATATTTACTGTTGTTGTTGAAGAATTGTGCTGAAATATCATGGTGCAGATTATATGATTTGGATTAGTAAGCTTTAATGGAATTTTAAATATGAAAGTTCCATCAATTCCTCTCTTTATTGCAATGTTTTGTGCAAAGTTTATATGTTCCAGATTTGGGATATAAATTTTGCTATAACTATAGGGATGTGATAACTTCTCATTCTAATTGATCAACTAGAATGTTTGGACGGAAAATCAGTAGAGAAAATTAATGGTTTTTTTTCCTATTTGTGAAGAGGATTGATGTTGCTTGAGTTTAGTTTACAATTCGAGTAAGATGTCATGAACTTGAAACTAGATAAAGACATAAAACTTAAATAATAAGTCAAGAATTTAAATTCGAAATTTGCTTACAAAATCTCAATCAAAGAATCAAATTTTAATTAGGATAAGGAAAATTTAGAAGAAGAACTTATAGTTAATTGCATTTCTTATTATAAATTCTAGTTAATTGTTAAACAACTTTTTTCTTTGTTCTATTTTGTTGATGAGATATTTCATCTTCCAGTTTTAAAATTTTTTTTAGTGTTTCAAATTAATTTTTGTTTCATTTGTCAAAATCCTAATTTAATTGGATAAATTTTTGGTTCATTGGGAAATGACTTGGATTACTCTATACTACAAATCTCATTTTGCTCTAATTTAATTTTGATACGAATGCCAAATAGCACCAAAAGAAAAATAAATTTCAAAATTTGCAATATAGAACAATTTGAGTTCTTTTCTAAGGAACCAAAGATTTATCCAATCAAATAAAGATCTTTGACAAATAAAACAAAAAATATTTAAAACACTAAATAGGGGGATTTTGAAACTAGTATTTGAAATATCTAATCAACAAAAATAGGATAAATACAAAAGGACAAGTTAATAATTAACTAGAACTTATAACAAGAAATGCAATTAACTTATCATTAAAGTTATCAAGTTGCAATTTTCCTTGTCTAAATTTAAAATTTGATTCTTTTGGTTGAGATTCCTTAAGAAAATACCAAATTTAAGTTTTCAACTTATCATTAAAGTTTTATGCCTTTATTTAGTTTTAAGTTCAATGATATCTCACTCGAACTTTATGCTAAACTCATGTAACAATCAATCCTAGAATTCTTCACAAACAGAGAAAATTCATCAATTTTCTCCACTAATTTTCCTCCAAATTTCTAATTGATTAACTAGAAGTTTATCACAGCTCTATAGTTCAAGAAAAACAATAAAATCTATATCACAAATGTGGAAACCATAAACTTTGCACAAAGCACAGCAATAAAGAGAGGAATTGATAGAACTTTTTACATCTAAAATTCCATGAAAGCATACTAATCCATGTCATAGATCTGCACCATGATTTGTCAGCACAATTCCTCAATAATAACATTGCAATTTACGTTCAAATATAAACACACATGAAGCATATAAAAGTTATAGCGAAAAAGAGCAAAATGGGAGGAAAACTATATAGAAATATCAAACCAAAGTATCCATTTTAGTTCTTAGACTCTAATCACATGCTTAGGGTTGAAACTTGTAGCTAATAAGCAAGGAAATTAGAGCTCCGTTGCTCCAAAAATGGAGCAGCACCAGCCGAGCATAAAAGTAGAAGAAACTGTCGTCGAAGAAGAAGATTTCATCTCCAGATCCACCACATGCTTATCCTGCAAGTCCTAGGGGTTTCGAGTCGATCTACTTCTTCAAGTCTCAAAGTTCTCATTTGATAATGAATCGAAATCAAGCATCATGATGCTATCGGATGAGGAACGACTTGACTTCGTGTTCAGATTTGTCGATCCATGAGATTTGTATTATATTGGTGCTTGTCATTTTGTGAACAATGTGAAATATTAGTTTTCAATGATGTAAATCCAACAATGTGGTGAAGTTTCTTTTTTCCTTAGTGACAAGCATTACAAGAAACACAATGATTTTTTTTTTTTAAAACTAAGTATACAGTAAAAAATAAATTCATTAACATTATATAATTGAGTTGAAGCCCATAATTTTTTTTGCTGACTTGAAGTACATTACTACATCAATGTTTTTCATATGTTTTTAAACCATAATCAACTTTTATATATAAATAATAGAATGATAGATTTTTATACCTTATACATTTGAAGAATATAAAGAAAAACTTGTTCTATATATGGTAGATCATACATTCACTTTTCTATTGAGTCCCACAGCTATGTTTATTGAGTCCCACATTCACTTTTAACACCATTAACAAATTTTAAAAAGATTAATTTTTTAAAATAATTACTAATTTTAATTTATTAATTAAATTATATGTCTTACACCAACTTTTTTACCATTAGTAATTTCTTTACATATCTAACACCTATTATTTTTACTAAGAATCTTATACTCACTCTCAATTTTTATAATGAATTCTATATGATCTCTCAAAATACAAAATTTTTATTATTTTTTACACCATGTTTAATTTTTTATAATTTATAAATGTAGACTCCCACTCACATTTTTTAATAGTAGGTCCTACATATCACTTTTTTAAACCGCAATACTCCAATTTTGTTAAAAATAAGTTTATTAAAAATTTCTCTTTCTTTATATTTCCCTTGGAGCTTCAATCCATACCAAATTTAAAATATCTAAATATATAAAAAATTTATGATCGAGGTTGACTCTTGACAACTTTAATGTTCAAGTTTATTTAGGCTTATTTAACCATATCAAATTATTAAAAATTATTTTAGTCCAAACATGTGACTTAACGATTAATTAATAGTTAGATAGATAGAAATAAAATCTTAAAAATAGAATGAAGGTTTATATTTTATAACTATTCATACTAAAAAAATGTTCATATAGGTTTCAAAAAATAGAAGAGAAGTATCATTAATTAAGATAAAATAAAGAGAAGGTCAAAATAGTTGACTTATTTTTAATTATTAGTTTGATATTAACAATTTATTTTTTGTAGGTCCTACACATACCTCTTTTACTACAGAACCCACATTATTCTTTACATTTTCTACTATATTATATTGAAAAAATTAACAAATGAAAACTAAAAAAGAAAAGAAAAAGTCAGATGGATACTCTAGATCCAATGGCTTAACAAATAAAAATTGAAAAAGAAAGTCAAATGGATATTGTAGATTTACAGTACCCATTGATAGTATTTACTATATATTATAGATTTTTGTTATTGATGTAAATCCATTCTCACTTGTACTTGAACTTGTTAAGTATGATTTATTACTTGTCAAATTGTTACTTTCACTTGTCAATTTTTTAAAGTAGGCCACCGAGATCAAGTTCTAATATAAAAATGTAGAATGATTCATGGACAAGTAGAATGATCTTGGTTAAAATTTAAAATTAACTTATCATGACAATGACTTGTTTAAATATTAATTATTGGAATATATTAACAAAAATCTTATAGCAGTTGCGAATTCAGTTAACATTCCAATTGTTAATTTACCATATTCTAGTTGTCAATATTCAAAAAATAACTGCTTAATATTCAAGTCCAACTGTCATTATTAATATAGCACTTGTTAATTAACACAACTTCAATACATCTAATAACTTGATCTCTTTGTATCCCTTGTTAATAAGAAGATTTTAAAAAACTGACAATTCATGTTAGTGTTTTAACAAGCATGAGTCATTAAATTTACAAGTTATGTAATGGTCTACGATTTTATTATGATATTTGACGACACTCGATTAACATATTGACAAGTATAAGCTAATAAAACAAGTTCTGTACTAGAGAAGTTCTCAAATGAAAACTTAAAGTGAAGAAGTGGATCAACACAAGTTAATAATTCCCCAGTGATGTTATGAATTTAATAAGATAAATTACACATTTAACAATTCATGTTAGGGATTTTACAAATAGGGTTGAGCACTAAAATAAAAAAGTTTTACTAAGCCCAAGACCCCCCACCTTCATTGTGGTGAATTGAAGGAACATCAACATTCGCTTATCAAGCACAACTTTTCTAGAGACTATGAATCTTTTTGGAATGGGTTACAATCTTATTGTGTCTATATCAATTATGTAGTCTGATCTAAATGTCTATAAAATTTTATTAGTACTGTATTTGATGGATGTAACAAATGCCAGAATGAAATGTCATATATGAAAGTGAATGGATGTGAATATATGTACATAGGGATATGTAATCTAAGTTTAAATGGATGAAAATTTTCATGAGAATACTTGTTCATATACTATATCAAGTACCATGATGAAATTATTTGTCAAGTATGTTAATGTATTTGTCTTTTAATTAATGTGAAGTTGTCATTTCCACTCGAATTGGTCTTATTGACTTACATCTATTGTCTCTTATATCAAGTTTTGATATTAAAAATGTAGATTTCATTCCATTGTCCATATCATAGCTTGTGAATTTTCTTGCACGTGCTTGTTAATTCACTAACATGGCTTGCTAATTGCTTAAATGAGACTTGTCAGCAATACCCTTATCAGTTATGAATCTTGTCATTTTGGTATTCTAGAAATGTACAAGAATGGACTTGTCATTTTTCCATAATTCCACATGTTATTTTATTAACCTACATTAGTTGTGTTTTTAATTACTCATGTAACCATAGTAGAAATGCACATGTTATTGAACTATGGATTTGTAGTTGATTTACACTTGATAGATGTAAATATAGTTAAATATTGTCTCAAAATGAATTTTTGGTCAAGCCGCAAGATATCTAGGCTTATCTGTGTACAAAATAAAGGAAATGAAATAAAACTTTTCACTATCAAATTATATATAGTTATGTATTTTGTCTTTAATTTGAATCAATGTTAAGTTGTTATTTATCATATATTACTTGTTAAAATATTAATAATTATGATCAGTTATCACAACTGAACACTTTTTGATAAACGGTCCAAAATATAGTTCACATAGCTGTTATTGATATTAGAGTTGATAGTTTTGTAACTACAGCTTGTTAAATTCTTAGCATCATGTCTAAATTTTAGAACATGACTTGCCAATTAAATTAACTTGTGTTGGTAATTAATTATAGGATTTGGAAAATGTCAAGAGGAAACCATTGGAGGAAAACGTGTTTCAACATTCAACCGTGCATGTAAAATTCCTAACATTACTTGTTAATTCCTAAATTTAATTGTTAAATTCCCAACTAGTCTTGTTTCATCACTAACATGACATGTTAAATCCATACCATTATTTGTTAAATTCATAATAAGACTTGTTAATTATTTAGCCTATATTGATAAGTAATTACATGTAAGTACTAAAAAATGTGAGGAGAAAAGTTTTGGTGGAAAACTTATTTTATAAATCACTTTTGTTTTTAAAATTCCTAACATATTAAAATCTCTAACTTCAAATGTTAAATCCCTAATGGGCCTTATTTTATCAGTAACATGATGGGCTAAATAAATAAGATTACTTGTTAAACTCTCCAAAAGACTCGCGAAGTATTGATCCAATATTGGTAAGTAATTATAGGACTTGAAAATATAGGATAAAACTTTGAATAAAAAACTTATTATTTTAGTGTTCAATCCTATAATACAATTCAGTGTTCGTCTGGCTGAGATGTGTTTTCAAATTTATTTAGTTTTGATTTTTTATTAAATCTCTACAAGGTGTTATAATAAAGATCTTTACTTTTGTTGCCTTTTAATGCTTTAGGTTTGGTTTGGATGAATAGAAAAGTAAAGTGAAAACTGGAAGAAGAGAAAACCAGAATAAGAGAGAAGTTTTCAAAAATAATAAATTTCTTTTATATTTGTAAGATTTTTTTTCCCTAATTTTCTCTACCTCCAAACCTGGGAAAAATCACATGTTTTTTTTTTGTTTTTAAAATAAAATCCTTCTCCTTCACTTCTTACCAAAAAATCTAGCCTCGGATGCCCCAAATTCGTTCAATTTTAGTCCATCTCCGTCGGCGTGACCTCGTGCTCCACAGTCCGTCGTGTTGTTGTTGTGGGTGTGTTTCGCTGTCCGTCGCCTATCTCTCCATCGTTTCTCTGTCGTCTTCACCTGGTTCGCTCTCCCTCCCATTCACTCTCCCTGTTTTGTGTTGATTACATGATTAATAGATTACTTGAATTTTTTTTTTTTTTTTTTGTGTTTCTCTTAGTCATCTCTCCCACTCGCTCTCCCTCCATATAGTGATTTTCTCCAATTTAGTTCCTCTATTCCACTCATTCCAACAAAATCATTCATGTTTTTGTTCCTCTGAATCAAGTAAGATCATAGTAACATAATGAATATGACTTCATTTTCTTTCAAATATTAAGATGATTATATTTTGATCCATGATTAGATAGGAGAAAATGCTTATAATTTTGGGAGGAGTATAGCATTTATTTCCTCAGGGGACAAACATTCTGTGTTCTTCTACAAAAAATAGTGAAATTGATGGCTATCAAACTAGTACCCTTATTTATAATTCATCAGTAAATGTGAAGGAAATTAAATTAGGACTCTCTACATAACGAAGAAGATGTTTTACCCAGGAGGAGGGAGATAGAGATGAGGGCGGTAAATTCGGAGTCAATAAATAGCTTCTCCGTGTGTGTGATTTCCAAAAGTTAAAAAGTACATTTGCCAAACAATTTTGAAAGCAGTAAAAATAAATCCCTTTTGTGTTTGCCAAATTTTCTTTTTCTATTTCAGGTGTTTCGGATGGATTTCTAAAATAATTTTCATTTTCTTGCCAAACAAATTCTAAAAGGACTTCTCGGGATATTGGAAACACCCTCTTAATCTTGTAGAGTTAATATTAATGGTTGTTTCAGCATGTCTCTCCCACAGGACACAGATAGCTGATTTATGAGTAGCGGGAGTGACAAGTGAAAGCCAGGGATGAGGGAGTTTGTTTCATCAACGTCGCCGTCAGTTGGGACTTGCGGCGGAGGAGGGGGAATCGGCGCTGAAGGTGACAACGGTGACTGAGGCGATAGAAAACTGATGAGTTTGTGTGTGTTGGAAGGCAGAATTTATATGTCTCAAGGTTTGGATTCCAGATATCTAAATCTGTTCTTTCATCCAACCTTTCAATGAAGTGATTATTATTGTTCTCTTTGGCTATTACATTCGTGAACAGCAAAGTTTTTTGTTTGAGCTAGAGCCGACTATTTGCTCTGTAAAACTCCACAATCTGCTATGCTTTTTCTTTGCAAATAATTTTTTAATATATAAAAATGCTGAGAGTATTAATGTTCAGTATATGCAAATAAACTTTCATTCAGTTCTACTTTGGAAAATCCCTGGCAAAGTCTTCTTCTTGTATTTTTCTATTGGTAATCCTGTTTAAGATATAAATACTCTTTTTAATAGGGATTTAAACTTTCATTCCATGCAAATTCCTCTTTATCTTCATGTTTTTCCTTTTCATGGGTAGTCTTGTAAATTCTAAAGTCAATAATTTAGATAGGTTGAATGTAGTTGAGCCATATTTAAAATTTAAATTATATAAGTTTATAAAAATTTTTTTTTATATGATCATGCTCCATTATTAACACTGTTAAGCTTTGATTTATTCATAGCCAAAGCTTGAAGCTTTTTTTTTTTTTTTAAAAAAAATTATTATTTTTAACTTAACAATTGATAATTTCCCCGCTAAACAAGGAGCAAAAACTAGAAAATATTTCAGCACCTGATTTCATGGGGCCAGCTTTTCTTTATTTTTCTCCCTCTCCATTTCTTTTTATTTTTTATCTCAATCATTAAATTTATTTTTTAATAGTTGAATTTTAATGTTTTATAAAATTATTATTATTATTATTATTATTATTATTATTATTATTTTATAAATATTAAATCTCAACTATTAAAAAATAAATTTAATAATTGAGATGAAAAGTGTAGAGAAAATAAAAAAAAGAGAAAATAAAGAGAAGCTAATTTCTTGATTTTATTTTCAACTTCGTATAAAATCAAAGCAAAAATTTAAATAAAGAAAATTTAATTTTTTAATCCTTTAATTTTTAACTCACTTGTAACTCAGCCCCTCAATTATAACTCGTTGCAACTCAATCTCTCAACTTTTAATTCACTTAAATTCAGTCCTTATTTTTTAATTTTTTTTAAATTTTTTTATCAAATAAGAGGGATAAAAAAGTTCATATATTATTCTAAAATACCATCCTTTTGTTCATTGACGTGAGATATAACCTAATATAAAAAAAATTAATAAAAGTTTAGGAATTAATTTATAAGTGATTTAAAAGTTAAGAGACTGAATCATAAGCGAGTTATAGTTGAGAGATTGAATTATAGTGAGTTATAGGTAAGAGATTGAGTTATAAGTGAATTAAAAATTAAAAGATTAAAAAATTAATTTTTTTTAAATAAAAAACAAAGGCAGAGAGGAATGACCATATGCTGTTACGATCTGACTCAGGGTGGAGATTGAAGAAGGGGTGATGCCAACTCGCGCGGCCATGCAATGACTGGTCTAATGCCGAACCAGAGGCAAGGGGGCTAGTGTGATCTGACTATCTTAGACAAACAAGCCGAAGCCAATGAAAGAAAGGAATAGATCAGATCTGAAGCTTGAATGAAGCTGGCAGCTGGCGCTGGACAAGCGAAGAAGAAGAAGAACGAAGGCGGACAAAGATTGATGGACTAAATCACTGAACGATTCGAAGCGTGAGCTCGTGGGTTTGCCGAGCTCGAAGTTCACCCTTGTCGAGCTTGAAGGTCGTCGCTTGCCGAGCTTGAAGAAGAACGAAAGGAGATGATGGATGTGAGAGAGAGAGAGAGAGAGAGAGACCGTGTGCGACGTGCTTGTGGTTGCTGAAGAAGGGAGGAAGCTGAATTGAGACCGTCTGAGAGCGAGGGTTAGTTGGTTAGATAATGCTCTCTGCTCTTTCTGATTGACTACTTTATTTTTTCCCAAAAAAAAAAAAAAAAAAAACCAAATTCGGGCTTCGCCGAATTACTGCCTCTAGTAAATTTATCTCCCTCGCGCTTCTTGCACCTAGCTTTCTCCAACCCCGGGTAGGAAACATCTCTCCTTTGTTTTGGGGAAGCCTTCCTCCCTTGCTGCTGCACTGTTCTCTCCCTTTGTGCAATCAAGCGTGTGAGCAGGTGGAAAGGAGGCTGGTTTATATTTCTCATGCTTAAATTTCACCGAACAAACAGGTCCGTCAAGTCTTTGTAGCCAGGCATCTGCTAATAGCAGCTGTTTAGAATGAAGTTAAAGTTGTATACTTGTTCTTTGAGCTTAATTTGTTATATAGTTGATGATCAAGTTTATCAAAATTTTCAACTGCTTGTAAGGTGGTACAAAATTTATATAAAACCATTAGCCTCAAGCTTATCTCAAATGTCAAGGACAAGATATCTTTAAATATACTATTTCTGAATTCATTTCTCTGGGTTCATCATAATATGTAAGCTCTGTCAAACATAAATAAATAATTGCTTAATGGAATTCTCAGGTCTTGTCTTGCGGTAGTTGTGGGGGTTAACTCAATTGTACCAACCCATCAAGGCATTGATTCCTCTTAGAAATCTGAAATTAACAAGGCGATATGGGACATTGCACTCTTGGATTTTATTTTAGTGATTGCTTAGACTATTCATGCTTATAAGAATAATTATTTTTTAATATTTTTATTTAAAACAATATTTTTCTCCATTCCATTATTGATTAATGATGATTGATTACCTTTCCTCCCATTTCATCAGGGTTGTGACTTGAAGAATAATGGATTAGTTTTTAGCTAGATGACTGCATCCCAAGTATAGATCCATTTTGACATTATGCTTCATCAACACTATACCCTATGTGCTCATCTCCATCTAGTGATACGCATCAAGCGCCGCCACTTTGCCACTAGGTACACAGCAAAGATCACTTCCACATCTTCTACAGGCAGGTCTCTTGCCGCTGAGATTACTGTGCCACCACCACATCCCATTGACAGTAGAGGGTACCTACTTCCTCGCTATGACCTAATCTGTAAGGTAACAAAAATCCTTCTCCATCAACTCCCACAGTCCACGTCCACAACTCCATCATTTGATGACCCTTTTTCAGATCTCTCTGAGTACCTACAATCACTCTCTATGACCCTCACCCCTTTAGAAGCATCTGAAATCCTCAAAGCCTTGAAAACGCCTTCACTTGCCTTGAGGTTTTTCCAATTTTGCTCTTCCCTTTACCCAAATTTCCGACATGAGTCCTTCACCTACAACCGTATCTTGCTCATCCTCTCAAAGTCAACCTCACCTCACCGTTTTGATCAGGCCCGTTCAATCATTGATGACATGCTCCAGCATGGAGTACGTGGTTCCATCTCTACGATCAATATCTTGATTGGGTTCTTTGGAATTGGTGAGGACCTGGAGAGGTGTCTTGGCTTGGTGAAGAAATGGGATTTGAGGTTGAATGCCTACACTTACAAATGTTTGGTTCAGGCATATTTGAGGTCATATGATTCAGGCAAGGCTTTGGATATATATATGGACATGCAACGACGTGGTTACAAGTTGGACAATTTTGCTTATAACATGCTTTTGGATGCTTTAGCCAAGGATGAGAAGGTATGTGTATCGCATTATCTGATTTTAGCAAGATTTCAGATTGTACAGTATACCATGCTCACACATTCATTTGCATAGTTTTGTGATGGAATGTTTAATTTTTTGCTCCTCTCACTAGTCTGAAAGTCATATGGCTATTTCATCTCTTAGTGGCTTCAAGGTTGTCAAATATTTGCTTGACTAAATTGATGAACAAGCAATTCAGTTCTACAGGTATTAAAGATATTTTCAATATACACATTACATTAATCCTGATTCTTTCATATGCAATTCTTTTGCAGGTCGACCAAGCATATAAGATATTTGAAGACATGAAACGGAAGCACTGCGAGCCTGATATCTTCACGTACACCATTATGATAAGAATGACTGGCAAAATTGGTAAAACTAATGAGTCAATTGCCTTTTTTGAGGAAATGTTAAATAAGGGCTGCGCACTTCATTTGATTGTTTATAACACTATGATTCAGGCACTTGCTAAGGCCCGGATGGTTGACAGGACCATCCAACTCTTCTCAAAAATGGTGGAAAATAATTGTCAGCCCAATGAGTTTACATTCAGTGTACTTTTGAATGTTCTAATTGCTGAAGGGCAACTTAGTAAACTTGATACTGTTTTGAAGTTATCGAAGAAATACATGAATAAGAAAATATATGCATATCTTGTAAGTACTCTATGTAAATTAGGCCATTTAAGTGAAGCTCACAGGCTATTTTGCAATATGTGGAGCTATTTTAATGACGGTGACAAGGGTGCTTGTATGGCCATGTTGGAGAGTCTATGCTGCTCTGGTAAAACAACTGAGGCTATGGAGCTTCTAAGTAAAATTCATGAAAAGGGTATAATCACTGATACAATCATGTACAACACAGTATTCACAGCTCTGGGAAAATCGAAGCAAATCTCTCACATTCATGATCTTTTTGAAAAGATGAAACAAGATGGTCCTCTGCCAGACATATTTACCTACAATATTCTGATTGCCAGCTTTGGAAGGGCTGGAAGAGTTAATGATGCTATTAAAATTTTTGAAGAATTGGAGGTTAGCAATTGTAAACCTGATGTTATCTCTTATAACTGCTTGATTAATTGCCTAGGAAAAAATGGGGATCTTGATGAAGCTCATATGAGGTTTAGAGAGATGGAAGAGAAAGGGTTAGATCCTGATGTTGTCACTTATAGCACACTTATTGAGTGCTTTGGCAAGACAGATAAAGTTGAGATGGCTTGTAGATTGTTTGATGAAATGCTTGCTAAAGGATGCTCTCCTAACATAGTCACATATAATATCTTACTTGACTGTCTTGAAAGGTGTGGGAGAACTGCTGAAGCAGTGGAACTTTATGCAAAACTTAAGCAGCAAGGGTTGAGCCCAGATTTAATTACTTATGCAGTGCTTGAGCGGTTGCAAAGTGGTGGACACAGGAAGTTTAGAGTTCGCAGGCAAAATCCTATCACTGGCTGGGTTGTTAGCCCCTTGTGATGGTAAATACAATGTTGTACATTGCAAGTTGCGTCCAGACATTTTCAGGGCTATGTGCTAAATCTGTAGCTTTATAGCCGATATAAAAATCTAAATTAATATGGTCATTTGATTATGAGAGCCTCAGGAGTAATTGATGCTGGTTGACTGGGGAAATTTTCCAGTTCTCTGTTGCATTTTTGGATGTGCAATATCCCACCGGTCTTATGCTCTTTGTTCTACCATGTGATTTTGTTTAGCAAGCAAGACAAGGATCATAACTTTTCCCAAGGGTGAATGGATCAAGAACGTGAAAATAGAATTCAGAGTGATATGGCCAACGGTGACCCAGTTAATCATATATAAATTATGAAGTAAACCATATATTTAAATTCTATATGTTCCCTTTTACCATTTCTTTATTGTTCTGCATGTGCTTGGTCGTAACTTTTTCGCTAGAATGAGGAATAAAAATCTCTATTTTATTTGTCTCCCTTCCTCGTTTTCCTCCTCCTCTCTCTTCATCTCCTTATTTCTCTGTTCCCTTGTTTTTTCTCCCATTGGTCCTACAGCCTTATTAAAATAAATTTACTGATATTTGTGTTCTTCTGTACTAATAAGGTATTATGTATATAAGAGGGAAGTTTCACTTTTATTAGTAATTAATTTCAGATTTCAAGCATTTGGTTATGATTTGGCTATTTTCTTTTCCTTATATAGTATTAGGAACACATGGATACGAAAGAGAGAGAAGCTGGGAAGTTCAAGTCATTTGGTATCCTGGCTTTCTATTGGACTTTCTATTGTAGGGGTCAGCGTTCCTTCCTTCACTTAAGGAAGTGAGACATTGCTCCTGGGAGAGGATAACACACCATATTGCCCCTCTCAAACCCCTCTACAGTGTTGATTTTCGACCCACGCAACTCATCATTCTGAAGCCAACCAAGTTTCATATCCTCTATCACAGCTTGTAGCTTCAAAAGAGAGGAATCCAAGTGCTGCTGTTGTCTGTAGGCTTCGTCATAATCTGTGCTTGGGTCACCTTTCTAAAGTAGTAAAATTAGCAGGTTCTTAACGGCATGCTAGATTTGCCTCACTGCACATGTCTGGCTATCATCCTTTTTTCATATTTATCTGGAAAGCTTGTTCTGTTTTGTGATTTCACAAAGTCTTAGCTTGGGTTGCCTTTCCTTCACAGACTAGCTATGTTCTTTGGCTGCATTTGGAATCTACCCCATTTGAATCTAAGGAATTTTGATCTCAGTTTTTTGTATTGTGTGATGTGATAGAGGGTGATGCACCATTAGATTCTGCTTCAAGTCAAGTTTGTTGCAACCAAAATTGGTTGGCTTTGATACCAAGTGTATACAGCCATTGATCAATGAGTTAGCATACCTTGAAATCAATACTCCTACTTGGAATGAAACAAGTGCTAAGGGAAATGTGCATGTAAATTTTTTATGGGCAGCTTGATCGTCAGCATAGATAGATAAAACATACCCGAGAGAAAAAAAAAAAAAATTGACATGTAAAATTTTCGTGGGAAAAGGTAGATGACAGTACAATTTCGAAAGAAAACTTATTGAAAATCAACCAAGCAATATAAATAAAATTTTAAAATTTTATATCTTTCTCACACTATGAAGAAAAATTTCGGAAGGAATCCAGCTTGAAATTTGGTGCAAACCTGACCAAGGAACAGTGAGACTTGATGTAGATGGCTCATCCGAAGTGGGCATAGGTAAATGTGGTGGAGTTGTTGGAGACTCTGATGAAGATTGGGTGATAGGTTTCAATTTAGGAGAATTTTTGTGAGCCATCTCCGAATTCATGGGGATTAGCTATGATCTTCAAATTTTATAGGACAAAGGTTTAAAGAATATTCAAGTTTTTACTTACTGTGTTGAAGCTATTAATCTTATAATAATTGACTGTTTGTAGCACCCTTTTAGAGATATTATTGATCATGCTAGAATGATCTTATATAGGAATTGGAATGTTTATTTGAATATCATGTACAGGGAAGCAAACTATTATGCCCATTCTTTGTGGCCACGCACACCAATAACTAGACAGGTAGCCTCAGATCTTTTGATCAACTATTACATTTTGTGTAAAGTTAATGGATGACGAGAAGAAATTGTCTAGGTGCTGCCAATAGGGGTACCCAAGTAATTTGATAACATGAACAAAAAATTCAGCAACTTGGGGAGCCGTATAATTTGATTTTAACGGAGAGAAAAATGTTAATATTTATTAGATAATCTATGCACAAACGCTAAAATCGCTGAGATTTTAACCAACAGAGTTATTTGGAAGACCCGTAATAAAAGGCTAATATTTTTCTTGATACTCTGAAGGCACACTGGTATTATGGCCTCAAATGTTGCAAAAGGTTGACTCAGTATTTCATATAGTCTCAAAATACATACATTAATACAAGACACTAGCATCTACTTTCTGTATATTAAAAGTTGTTTTGCTCATTATACTATTAAACAAATGCAAATTAGCAAAAGAATTTAATAAGGTATCATCTATCCCTCTTTAAAATGTCAAATAAGCAAAGAAATTAGTGAGAAAGTTTAATTTCGTAGTTTAGCTTAAAATTAATGAACAAAAATAATGAGGAACTATTAATTTTTTTTAAAATAATATAATTAGTGAGGAAAATAGTGAGGGATATTTATCACTTTATAAAAAAAATTAACAAGAAAAATATTGAGGAATTGTAATTAACAAGAAAAGTAACTAAAGACTATCAATTCTTCTTTAAAACAAGATAACTAAAGAAGAAAATAATGAGGAATTGTATATTCCTCTTTCGAACAAGATAATTAGTAAGGAAGGTTAAGGAAGGTTACAAGTGACTATTAATTTCTCTATAAAACAAGATAATTAATAAGTAAAATAGTGAAGGACTGTCAATTCCTTTTTAAAACAAGATGATTAGTGAGGAAAATAACGATTGACTATATATTCCTCTTTGAAATAAGATAATTAGTGAAAAAAATAAGGAGAGATTGTCAACGCCTCTCTAAAACAAGAATAGTTAGTGAGCAAAATAGTAAAAAATTGTTAATTCCTTTTAAAACAAAATAATTAGTGAGAAAATAGTGAGTGATTATCAATTCCTCTTTAAAAACAAGATAATTAACAAAGAAAATGACAAGTGGCTATACATTCCTATATCAAATAAGATAATTATTAAGAAAAATAGTGAAAAATATTTATTCTTCTTTAAAATAAGAATAATAGTGAAAAATTTTAATGAGTACTTTTTATGCCTCTCTATGAAGAAAACAAGCCCAAACGATAAAGGAAGTCCAAACGCAGATGAGATGCTTCTAATCCCAACATCTCCAGATCTGTTAAGTCCACAAAGTTCTAGAGTTTTATAATTATTTGTAACAGATTGAATTATTATTTTCTTGTTATTATTGTCATTTTCTTCACGCTATAGCGTATGACCCGGTGTGTGATGTAACTACTTTTTGTGCATATATAATCGTTGATCTGCTCCCCTTATTCATTCATTGAGAGTGAGCCTTTACACATAATTTGTGACTTGGTATCAAAGCATAAATTGCGTTCCTGGCCACGGCGTCTTTTAGGATTCTTGCAACCTCTACTTCTCCACTTCATCTCTCTTTTTCCACCTCGTCCTCTTTCACTATTGCCAGTGGCGGAGCCAAAACTCTATATCAGGAGGTGTAGATTAATTTTAAAAATAATAATTCAAAAAGAATCATTTAATATTTCTTAAAATAATCATATATTTTATAATTATCCCCTACTTATTTTCAAATGCTATTAAAAATACTTCCTTCCACATAAGTCACTAATTTATGATATTATTTATATATAAAAATATATAATAATTAACCAGAGATTTAAAAACTTTTGAATTAATAAGTGTATTCTTTTCTAAAAATTATATTAGATTTTTGGAATTAGTGAATTCATAACTGGACTTAACTTAAAACATCTATGAAAAAAAAGGCATGGATTTCAAGGGGTTCAAAAATTTGTGACTAGAGAAGGTAAAATAACAAAAATATCTACTACTTATTTATAATTTTTTTCAAGTTGAGGGGGTGCATATGCCCCTCCTCAAATATATGTGGCCTCGCCACTAATTACTGCTCTATTCTCTTCTTCCACAACTTCCAAGGTCGCCACCACTTCTCTTCCTCCCCCACAGAACATTCCATTGGCTGATACTCATACAATTGTTCTGATGAAAACAGTTCCTCTATTGAATGGCCTTAACCAAGCCAGATATGTCAACTTGGACAAATCCAACTATATTCTCTAGCACAATTTTGTTTTATCAGTGCTATGAGGCCATTGACTTAAGGCATTTATGACTGGCATGAAGCCTAGTGCTCTTGAGTTCATACCACAAGGTGATACAATTGTTGTTAATCCATCATTTAAAGATTGGCATTCAAGTGACCAGCTCATTTATGGCTGGATTCTTGGTTCCTTAACAACCAAGATAGAACCTCTTTACTATCATATGACATCACAACTTTAATGTGCTCACTACTACAAAATGTATCTTTAAGAGCGGGTATTTAGGAGCACTTCTTTAAAAAGCGCTCTAAAAAGTGAATGCGGAATTTACTAGAGTGCTTTTTTAAATAAACATTTTTGTATGTTAGAGCTTCGAGTGCGCTCAATAAGATAGCGCTCCTAATTAGTATTATTAAAAGGTTTTAAAAAATTTAAAAAGATCTTCAGGAGCGCTCTTTACTTGAGCGCTCCTGAAGGCTCAAATATTCAGGAGCATTCACACACGAGTGCTCCAGAATATCACACATTTTGAAGCACTCATCAAACGAGCACTTCTGGAAGACTCTATCTTTCAGAGTGCTCTTCAATGAGTACTTCAAAATAGGCACCTTTCCGAAGTGCTTGACTATGAGCTCTCCAAAAGAGTGTGATTAAGGAGCACACAACAATGAGCGCTTTAGAAGAATGGGTCTTCCGGAGTGCTCATAGTCTAGCGCTTTTAAAGAGCAGTCTTTCAGAGCACTCTGACTTGAGTGCTCTAGAAAAGCTGCTCTTTATTTTTATTCTACCTAGTTAGTTTTCTTTATTCATCCCCATCAGTTTTCTTTTTCTCTTCATTTAGTTTCTTTCATTCCTCTCTCTCATTTACTGCAGTTGTGCATTCCCATCGAGTTGTCTACCGAGTCTATCATCTGTAGCAGTCCGTTCGTTGCTATACCGAGCTGTTATTTGTCATTTTGCTGCTTCATCATCCATTTCTGCATCGCATAGTCTTTGTTTTTGCGTTGTTGTCATCGCCATCTCTATTCATCGTCCATTTTTGAGTCATGCCGTCTCTGCGTTTTTGCATCACATTATGAAGTCTCCTGTGTCATTGTTCTAGATCTACATCTTTATTCCAAATTTGCATTATTGTCTGTACACCAGAGGAAGTGATGCCGTGAAGACCTCTGTTATTGCTGTGAAGATTGCCATTTTTTGCCATGAAGATTGCACTGTGAAGGTTTTTAATAATTAATTTATAATGTAATATATTGATATATTTATATATATTTGAGAATAAATTTCATATATATATTTTTGAAATTATTGTTTTAGTTTCAAGTTCTTTCCTTATATATAAATTTTTATGTTGATATTATTTTTGAATTAGTTTTCATATTGTGATTAGTCATTGTTAAAGAGATGT